AAAAAAAAAGACTCCTAATTCTGATATTCAAATGATGGGACTGTGTGTATCCAAGACACCACATTCCAGACGCTGCTAACACCCTCCACCCCCAGGCCTTGCAGAGGGCCTGCCCTTTCCACCAGTGGCCGCAGTGGCTTACCGACAGTGTTTATGCGATCCGGTCAGGGTTTCGATCACAAAGCACTCGCCATCATTGAGACAGTATGCAAGGTCCTTGTCTCGGCAGGGTTTGAAGTGCTCAGATCGCTCTGTGGAATACGTCGTCGTATCTGTCAGGGAAAGCACAGAGGGAAATGCTGTCAGCAGGACATTCTGACACCACCAACTACTGTCACTAGCCCTGGATCTCTGTATGGAGACCTTCTCATGGGGTCTGACCTCTGGGACTCTAGGCAGATAGCCCCAAACCTCCATGGTACTGACCAAATGCAGCTGGCTGTAACCACTGTATTCAATTGTCTTATTTCTCCACTACATTTTAACTATTGGAGTCACTCTGGAGAAGCCCCATTTGAGGACATGTAAACACTAAAAGCTGAATGAGCCTGAGTTAAACACCCCAAATCCACTCCCATTAATTTCAGTTTTAACAAACATGTTGTACCAAGGACTGAAACAACATTCCCTTCCCTTTATTGCTGCCAAATATAATTAAACATCTGATCAACGTATATTGTAACTGTTCTGTGGAATCCAATGTCAGTTTTGGGGATTTTTTTTTAGTTACAGCTATAATTGGCTAATAGCTAAGCCAATTATTCTTTCCTTTCTCCTTTTATTATGTAATTAAAATGCAAATGTTCTAAATTCTGAAACAGATTCTCAAATATGAAGAATGTTTTAGTAAATATTTAACAGGACCAATTATTGTCATTTTTTAGCATTACCTTAAACATGCATTTTTAAAATCATAATTACTTACATTCTCAAATTAAGTTATATATCATTATCTGCATCCCAAATACAAGATTAACCATAAATATGTGCTATCTACAAGATACAGACTCTATTACCACATGTAGACATTATTCTAGTTAGAGTTTTAAGCAACTAAACTATTAGTACCAATTCTACCACAACATTCAAGAAAAAATATCCTTCAAAAATCAAAGAATAAATTATTCAGTGCTTATGCTTTTGATTTCCTTTACATAGACTTAGATTAATAATAATATTCAACAGCACGGCACATTATACCAGCTTATTAACCTCTATTGTTTGAATGTGTCTCCCAAATTCCCTTTCATGTGTTGGAAATTTAATCCTCAAATTCATATGTTTAAAGGTGGGGCCTTTGGGAGGTAATTAGGATTAGATGAGGTCATCAGGGTGAGGCCCCCATGATGGAACTGTTGGCTGTGTGAGAAAGAAGGATTGAGTTGGCATGCTCTTGCCCCCATCCATGTGATGCCCTGCACTGCCTAAGGGCTTGCAGAGAGCTCTCGCCAGCAAGAATGCCCTCAGCAGATGCAGCCCCTTGACCTTGGACTTCCCAGCCTCCAAAACTGCAAGAAATAAATGTATTTTCTTTATCAATCACCCAGCTTCAGGTATTCAGTTAAAGCAATAGAAAATGGGCTAAGACAGTAAATTAAGGTCACAATGTGCTTCTTCCCTTCTTATCGTCACAACTGATGGAAAGTGAAAATTTTAAAAGGAAACTCTCCCCTGTCTCTCCCACATATAAAAATCCTCATGGGGCTCTCCTGGGGCAATAACTTCAAAATCCATAGTAGAGCAAACCAGGGCATGGACCATCTATATGTTTATCTGTCTGGTCTCTTCTTGCAATCTAAAGCTTTATGCAACTTAATTTTCAACTATTGTTCTATTTCCCCAAAATACCAAGAACTGGCACATTGCCCCTTCTTCCCAGGCCTTCATTCTAAGTTAAAGACACACAGAAACCCTCAGAACTTAGATGATCTCATTTTGCTCCTCCCAGTGCCTCTTACCACTGTCATCACTGCATTCAACCCTGCAAGTAATCCTTTCTTTGTTTTATCTGTTCCTTTCCTCTGTAAGGTCCTTGAGGGCAGGCAAGGAGGCTTAATGAGAATTGGTACTCATAAAAATATCTTCAAAATATCTGATCTCTCTAACATCAACAATTAAATGCTATAAATGAAAGATATAATTAAAAATCTCCTTACAATTTTACAAAACTTACTGCATTTTGTACAGCAAAAAGTGAAATATAATTTAACATTTATGTTATCATTTTAGTATACTTTTTATAGTATTTAGTATACTTTTTATAGTATTGATAAAGATTGCAAAAGCAACGCCTTCAGACTCACACAGACCCTCACACATATATTACTCATATTCCATGGGCATTGAAATCACCACTATTGGTGTCCTTTTTCTTGGTGTTGCAATGAGAACTTATGTTTTCCATTTCAAAATATCTGCTTGTTAATACTTTGGCACAAAATAAAGCCTCTGTAAAACAGACATATTTTCCATCTTGCAGGGGATTCTCTATAGTAAAGATCTGTTATTCAAGACAGTATGTGACAAACAGTCATACAGAATCAATCTCTCTATGGGAAATATTTAAAATTCAAGAGCTCTAAGCAAGAAATTCAATATGAAATGGTGCACAGTTGACTGCTACTCTGGCTGCTGAAGTATATTAACTCAAGATCAGTTAGTTAACTTCTCCTTTAATTTCTATTATCCATTTATTGATATTCAGTGATCATGCTCCTAAGAACAGTTTTTCATTAACATAATCTACAGCATAAAAAGTGAGATCCTTATTTTAAAATCAGTGGTTTTAACAAGCTACAGACTTCAAGTGCAACACAATGGCAAAGCAATTACAATCAATTAATTTCCATCTGACAACGGCTGTCTCTAGTGGTTACCGCCCCATTCTACCAACCGATTTCTCCATCATGTTATCATCTATCAACACATTACAGAGGATCAGAGACCCTAGTAAATGGCTCTGCAAAAGTCTGGGGTGGGAAAGCTGAAATATCAGGCTTAACATACACTGAGGTTTTCCATTTTCATAGCTTAAAGAATGCCCAAATTAATTCACAATGGTTTCACTGAATTCAAAAAACATTATTAGTATAACTTTTTAATAACAATATAATACATAATAATAAAATATTAGGTATAATTCTTTAAGGAAATAACTGAAATTGTCAACACATTTGAAACCTTAGAATTTTACCTATGGATTTTACTATATATTATCTATATAGTATTACTCACTGGAAATCACAGAGGCATTGGGTAAGGTAAGTGCAATTCATCATGAAGTAAAATTTTACTCTTGAAAGTCATCATGCAAAAGATGTGTATGGAAATATAGAAAAATTCTGGACCTTTAATAAAATCACTAGGTTGCTATGCTAACTCTAAGACCACCTACCTAGATTTTTGTTAAATAAATAATAAGCATACTGTGTCTAAGTCACTCTTACTCAGGTTTTCTATTACTTACAATCAAACAAAGCCTAATAAAGAGATACTAATAATTTTGGATGATATACACCTACATTTGCATATCTGATTAAAGCTCATGTATGTATTCATACACACATTTAATTTTTAACATTTAAGATATACTACAAAACACATAAAATGGGACATAAACAAAAATAAACCAAAAGTAAAATATAAGGTGCAATTGCTTATTGTCTTGCTGTGCCCTACGGTGGCAGAGTATGCTCCAATGTATCCAGCTGAGTGTTTTATTCTGAAGAAGAAACATGGAACATTTGTGAGAATGAGAACATGGAGAACTAAAAAAGGTATGGCCCTAAACAACCTTGGTGTATTTTAGTAATCAGATAAAAAACTCTCCTCTGGGCCGGGCGCGGTGGCTCAAGCCTGTAATCCCAGCACTTTGGGAGGCCGAGGCGGGTGGATCACGAGGTCAGGAGATCGAGACCATCCTGGTCAACGTGGTGAAACCCCGCCTCTACTAAAAATACAAAAAAAAATTAGCTGGGCATGGTTGCGCGTGCCTGCAATCCCAGCTACTGAGGAGGTTGAGGCAGGAGAATTGCCTGAACCCAGGAGGCGGAGGTTGCGGTGAGCCGAGATCACGCCATTGCACTCCAGCCTGGGCAACAAGAGTGAAACTCCGTCTCAAAACAAACAAACAAACAAACAAAACTCTCATCTGTGAGCAAATTAAACACTTTTGGAAGCTTGTTTATATTTTTAAAGCTATGCCACTTTTAAGACAGTCCAATACACTAAGCTGGGTATAGTATATGGTACTATTTTGGCATGTACTTAATCAAACTTCTGCTTCTAGGAATGTAATTTGGTAAATAATTTGTTAGAGAGCTATTGCCTTCAAAAGAATTATATGGATGAAGGTTCCTGTAAGTAAACAGAAGGGGCCTAATGTTCCAGGGAATTCCAATTTTTCTTTCAAGGCTTTTTTTATGTTCCCTTATTCCAGAGTGGGCCCCGCTATCAGACATCACTCTCTTCACGTTCATCAGCTCGTGAAGCTCCCATCTGACTGGACCATGAGCTTCCATGGAGCAGAGAAGGTCTTCATATTTTTAATCCATGGGCTTATAGATGGCTTGACACAGAGAGGCCCAGAATAGGTATTTATAGAAGGGAGAACTTTTGGCTAGGTGCAGTGGCTCACACCTGTAATCCCAGCACTTTGGGAGGCCAAGGTGGATGGATCACCTGAGGTCAGGAGTTGGAGATCAGCCTGGCCAACATGGTGAATCCCATCTCTACTAAAAATACAAAAAAATAGCCGGGTGTCGTGGCAGGTGCCTGTAATTCGAGCTACTTGAGAGGCTGAGGCAGGAAAATCACTTGAACCTAGGAGGCAGAGGTTGCAGGGAGCCAAGATCGCGCCATTGTACTCTAACCTGGGCAACAAGAGTAAAACTCCATCTCAAAAAAAAAAAAAAAAGAAAAGAAAGAAAGAAAGGAGACTTTTTATATAGCATTTTGAAAGCTGTTTGTGTTAAAAACAGAGGCCAGGCACTCTGGCTCACACCTGTAATCTCAGAACTACAGCGGCAAGGTGGGAGGATCACTTAAACCCAGGAGTCTGTGACCAGCCTGGACAACACGGGGAGACCCTATCTCTACAAATAATAATAAATTAGTTAGGTGTGGTGGTGCATGCCTGTGACCCCAGCTACTCAGAAGGCTAAGGTAAGAGGATCACTGGAACCCAGGATTTCGAGGTTGCAGTGAGCTGTAACTGTGCCACTACACTCCAGCCTACACTACCGAGTGAAGCCCTGTCTCAAAATGGTAAAAA